ACTCCCGCAATCGACAAGAATCATGGGCGGAAGAGAGTTTCACAAAGAACTACCCTCCACTATAGCTCCGCTGCGCCGCCATGATCACGAGCGGAACCACTTATATACCCTTCCCGTGGCTGAAGACTACTCCTGCTAATGGCTCTGGAAATATGGGATAATCATGTACCCTGCAGAAACATCCTGAACTGCCTGAATCTGTCTCCCAGTTCTTCTGAGTGCTTGCGCGTCCCTCAAGCCTGTTCTGCTGGCCCTGAACCTCTACCCTGCTGACGCTGCCCTGCCTGCCTGCTTGGCTCGGACCTTTGCCTGCTGGCTCCTGCTGGTGCGCTGCGGCACTCTGATGCCTTATGATCCGACCTTGTGCAGTTCTTAAAACAAGACCCCTGGACTTGACGCTGATGATGCCGCTCTCTGATCCGCCTGGGTCTTCTTATAAGGGCCACTGAAGCTGCCCGCTGATGTTCCAAAAAAATCTCTCTTGTCTTTGCCCTTGTCCCACTCGCCGGTCTGCTTCCCTTCCTGTCTTCTGAACATAGCAGTTCTCAATCTCCTGCAGAAGTGGCAGCCTCAGTACCTCCTGAACTGAATAAAAATCCCGGGCACACGATGTACCGTCGGGAAGCATTAGCGGCCGAAGCCAGCCAAGAACATCAAGAGTCATACGCTCTCCTTCTGCCACATGCATGCTGAAATGTAACAGTCTCCAGGACCGGCTCTCAAAATCGAGTCCACGTGACATGTCCCCCTGAGCTCAATCGGGACAACTCAAGCCCTTCCCAGTCCCTGCTGTTAGAAGAAATTGTACTGTCCATCGAGAAATTTATTGAAGTCCTCCCACCAGTGAGGTCAGCTCTGCTCCTGGACGTGAACTGGAGTCCTTACCCACCTCCGATCTCCCTTCAGGCTGTAGGATTGTCCAGTCTCTGCTCTTGGATGAATCAAAACGCGAACGAGAATGTTGCTCACATCTCCTTCCAACTTATGGGCTGCAAAGAGGGTCTGGTGAACCCTGGACTCCGGTGCCCTCATCTTCTGGCACCTCCTCTACCATACGGAGCCAGTCTCCTGCTCTGTGCGCTCTGCTGGACTACTAAAGGAATAGCTCAGGCGTAGCCTCGGGTCTCTCTCTAACAGAACGAACCGTATCCCGTTTGCTGAGCACCGGTGTGGTTGGTTGGCCGGTGTCGGTGGTGCTTATTACGAGTCGTCACCAACTTCCTCAATAGCTGTCATCCGAAGCGATAGCAGGAGCATAAGCGTCCATC